ACTAGCCCTTCCCTTGTGTTCATCCAGTGCAGTGTATTAGCTTCCTGGGGAGAAAAGACACATTACCCTTATTTTATGAAGATGTTTTTATTTCTAGATGTTTGCATTTTAAAGTACTTTTTTCCTTAACAGGAAGAACCCCATAGTATTTATCTATTTTAAAAAAAACTTTTAAAAATGAAGTAGCGTAGTGTTACATCCTTGTTAATTTTTTGACAGAGGGTTTCTCCTTTCTGGTGTGGTTACTGTGGCTCTCCCCCAACCAACTCACCCATGGTCCCCCTGTTATAGGACAGGGAGAGGGGCAGCCCAAACCCCGCAAACCTGCCTATTCTAAATGGGTTCTGCCATCCGCCGCATCAACAGAAAACATAGGAGACTTTAAGGGGAAGGAACTTTAATAAAACTAGGAAACAATACAGGTAAGGCAGAGTCTAGTTTCTAAATGAAGCACCCAAAGTTACCCGTCCCCTCGTGGGTAAAAGTCCATCCAAATGGGACTGGCCCAGAGCAAGGCCCCAAAGCCTGCCACAAGTTTAAAGCATCTTCCAGTAGGGACCCACAGAAAAGGGCCAGAAACAACCAGACAAGCCCGGAAGGAAAAGAGCAAAATCAACATCAAGATAAAAGCTGCCATTGTCACCTCCCCACGGGTCTCACCCACATCTGTGTCACCCAGTCCACGACCAAAAGACAAGCGCAGTTTCTTCACGTGTCTCTAGGCTCCATGCGCCTCCTCCAGGTCTCCTGGCTCCATCCTGCTTCCTTCCTCAGTCTCTTTTGCAGCTTCTCCTCTTCCTGCTCAGCTCCACCCTCCCTTGGGTGGGGCAGGGAACCTCCCCCTTTCCTGGGGACCACCCTGTTACACCCCCACCATAGTCTCCAGGGTGCTAATTTTTAAGTCACTTGTCTTTGTAAACAGAGAATGGCAAAGAAGAAAATACAAGGCCCATAGAGGAAGAAGCTGGATACAGCAAATATTGTATTTTTCCTGTTAGAGATGTTTTTTTTTAAGCATGCCTAGGATCATGCTTTATTTAGATGCAGTTTTGAACCCTGATTTATTCATTTAACACATTGGATGTTTCCTTCTCATGTCCTCAGATATTCCTCATGGGCATAGTTTTTGTTGACAGCATCACAATTACTTTTGGGACACACCATCACTTGCTGCCATTTTTCTAACACTGGGCATTCGGATTCTTTTCATTCATCTTTCACTGTGTAGCGAGTGCAGTGGTCTATGCTTTCGGGGTGGTCATTGGAAGGACACCAACTTGCTAATCATCGGAAGATCACCTTGAATAGTCATTCTGAATGTCCGTGTATTGTCATGCAATGACACCACTGGAGCTTCGCAGAACCTCCCCTAGGAAGTCATTATGGCTGAACAATGGTCCCTGAGGACTTAAAACATAGTTTTTGTCACATTTGTGCTTTCAAGGAAAGAATTGTCCTTCCCCCAATGAGTTTCCTGAACGCAGTTGTCCAGGAAAAGCTGTGGGGAAACAAGATCTCTTAATGATGTGCTATCAATGGTCTTAAGGCTGACTTCCACGTTACAGAGACTTGGAAATAATATTCTCTGGCATTTGTGTGCTTTCTTGTGGATTATTCCTGTGCAATGATGATGTTCATGCCTCCAGGAGAGTTGACATACAAGCCTGAAGTGCAGACTGTCATTGTTGAAAGCATCATGAGGATGTAAATTTAATCCAACTTTCCTCTCTGGCAAAGTGTTTGCTTCCTTTTTAATTTATTCAGTGTCTAATTCTTAACACCAACACCAGCCCTAAGGAGCAGGCTAGTGAAGTTACTGCCGCTATTTATTTTTTTTAAATAAGATTGAGACAGAGGTGAATAGCTATCTAAGGAGACAGCTACAAAATGTGTCAATTCAGTTCTGTGTTTCGATTTCTCCTTCGTCTCCAAAGTCACCCTCCATGGTAGTGATACTACTGGTGAGAAGATACTCACAGCAACAACATGGGCAAATAGCATTTTCTTAGTTTGATGGAAAACATCTTAGAAAAAAATCTGCCATGCCTATGAATCTATATCAGATGGCGGAAGAAAAACGAATGTGTTTGCTGCCCAGACGCAGCTTCCAGACAGCTGTTTGCCAGCCGGCAGGCTTCCACCAGACCTTCCTGAGCACACGTCTTGGATCTGCTTCAAGAAGTGGCTTTTAATTGACTTTTGGATTATAGATCCCTTTGAGACCCTGGCGGAAGCTGTGCATGCCTGCAAGAAAAAAATGCACGGACTCCCACATTTTGATACACAATTTCATGAGGTTTATGTCACCCCTGAAGCCAGGTTAAAGCCAAACAAAATTGAAAAAAGAAAAAAAAAAAAGCTCCTCTGAACAGATCCAAATACTCTCTAAAAAAGAAAGGTCCAGAGAAATAACAGTTTCGCTTGAATGATTTAACAAGTGTGGACAGAGCTCGGGTTGGAATTCCAGTGATAAATATGGTGTCTCCCAAACTTTAAGGACTTTCTCTTACAGTGCCATGTAGTCAGGGGATATACTTAAAATACTGACCGACCCCTATAGCTTGGAAACACAACCTTTAGGTTGTGTTTTAGGTTATTTCTTTGTTACCTGGGGACTGTATTCAAAGTTACATGTTCTCTGAGATGCAGAAAAAGCAGAGCTGAGTTTCAGCACTAAATTTGCACTTCAGTGAGTGCTGAGATTTGCCTTCAGTGAGTGCTGAGTCCTTCACAGGATTAATGTTAGCTGATGTTAAGAGGATGAGAAATCTTGCTTGGAGGGGCAGGGAGCATCCAGCAAAGAGAATATGCAATCTATACACTGGCCAAGTCCTTAACCCAAGGGGCCTTTTAAAGTACAGCATGGGCAGAGGTGGCAGGCAGGGCAGGATCTGCTTTTGGATACAACTTTGTCTTCTGTCCACAGAAGGCGCAGGATGCCAGGCTGAATGAGAGGCGAGGCCATGCTGTGCTGAGGACCGGTCACCTGTGAGCTCCAGTGATGCCTTGAGTGACATTCAGCTTGAAGTTTGCTGGAAGACAGCATGATGGATTCTGGGTTCTTAGGCAAGTGCTTCAAATTTGACAATTGAGTATTGGGTGTGGTTTAAACCGCTAGCATCCAGATGGTATTTTGCAACACCATCAACCTTAAGAATCAGGGGTGTCTCCAAGTGCTGGCAGGGCCAAGGTGTAGTTTGCATATTCTCTGCAGGATGCTCCCCGCCCCACTCCATGCAAAATTTCTCATCCTTTTACTATCAGTGAACATTAATCCTGTGATTGACTCAGGGCTCACTGAATGCAAACCTACTCCTGCCTTCCAGACTCTTTGCCTCCATTTTACGATTACGCAAACTGAGTCTTTCAGGGAAAAAGTGAGGAACTCAGGGTGTGTGCAAATTTTAGTGCCTAAACTCAGTTCTGTTCCAACCCTAGGGCTATTGCATATTACTTGTTTATTGGGCCTTTAAAACAGCATCTTTATATGTATTTTTTTTTAGCAACTTCCTAAAATATATTCTTTTTTTCTGCCCCATCAAAAGCTTCATGTTGGAGCAGATTGAATCAGTTGCATGCTTGTAGGGAAACCAGAACTGCCTCCTTAATATACACCTTCTGAAGTGAACTTTGCTGAATAGGCTATAGGCAGACTCTTGGGCTTGGGTGCAAACAAGCCTCCTGCGTCAGTGGATCTCACCTTGGCCATGCAGCAGAGGATCATTTCATGGCCAAGGTGACCACTTCTATGAGACACGCAGCTCTGTGGGATTCCTCAGCATTTCATTGTCGCGTTTTATTGCCAAACCTTTCCAAAATGGCAAAAGAGACATGCTCTCCATCTTGGTGTTTCTCAATGCAAACATTAGCTTGCAGTGTTTTATTGTCTCTCACCCTCAAAGAAACCTGCTATTGAAACTTTGGATGTGGAGGCAAGCCTCTAGCACCCAATCCATTTACTGCAATTCCCTTAATTGTTAACTCACCCCAGCTGCTTGACTTTCTGCACTGTGTTTGTACTTCAGTTGAGTTCTGGAATAGGTAATGTTCTCTGGATTGTGTCAATAGGATTATCACAAATCCTCTTTCTAATAGCTCTGTGCATATTGGCATAGGTTGAAGTACTAGTTTCAGCTGCCAGACTGTTCATGTTCATTAATATCTGCATATAAAAACCAGGCTTTTAGTTGCATACGGATTAAAACATGATGTGGGTTTTCCTACAGTTTATAGTCCTCAAAGTAAAGATACAAAGGGGCTGCTTTCCTTGAGCTCTCTTCATGTGTGCTTAAAAATGTAGTTTTTTTTTCTGATTATTGAAAGACTGTAAGCTTATTGTGAAAATTGGAAAATGTGAAATAATAAGAGCCAAAACATCATACGATCACCCAGTTGCAAATAGCTGTCCCTACATTACTACCAGGCTTTTTCTCCTAGAAGTTGGCAGCATACTTTGTTTACAGTTCCTTTTCTTTAAATGCAACATGATGATATTTACATTTTACCATGTTTAAAGGTGCTCTAAGAAGGTACTTTATTTACCATTTTTAAGGATTGTATAATATTCCATCTTGTAAGTACATCAGTCAATCTAGAGGCGATAGAGCACTTTGTTATTTTTTCTGCTGTGGATAATTCTGCTTGAAGATGTTTATGCACTGTATTGGAGGATTGCCCTCAAGTACTCTTCAGAAGTAGTAAGATTGATTCAAAGTGTTCTTTTTAAAGATTTTTGTTATAAATGAATGGTTTTCTTTCTAAAACAGTCTAACCCATGGACAATCTCGTTAACTCACTAAAAGAATGTCTAATACACTCCAGCTTTACCTGCACTGGTATACAGCTTCTCAAATTCAAGAGGCAAGAGTGGTTTCTCATTGTTATGTAAATGTAAATATATATGATTGCAGTGAGAACCAACTTTTCCATATGGTTTGTAAATGTCTTTATTTTTCTCTGTGAGCTCCCTCCTCCAGTCATTCCATGAATTCTGGTTTCAGGAAGAAGCGGAGTACTTTGAGAGCGCCGTTGTATGCAACTCATCTGTACAGAATGGAACAGAACTGCAAAGCCACGAGGTGCCTGCCTTTCCTTGTATCAAGCAGACTTGACTCCACTTAATATCAAGTAGACTCTGCCAGTGTCTAGTCCTTAGAGATTCATCAGCTTAGGGCATTTCCTTGTATTTAAGCTAATGTGAGTTTTTCTGTTAATGACTGTGGAGAACAAGTCTTAAATTTAACCCCTACAGAAAGCCAAAGTTTGGTTACCCATAGTGGGGTCTCAATTGAAATGACTGAAATAACATTCTGTCACTAGCCTGGGGGTTGTTCTAAAAGGTAGGCAGTCACTGGAGACACGGCCAGGCATAGAGGTGGTCCCAACCAGTCTCCTCCCGACTTCTGGCTGTCATAAGATGTCTCTGCACGAGTCTTCAGTTTAATTGGTATCTTCTTCCTCCTTCTCTGCTCCTTCCCAAAGGCAAATCAACTTGGGACATTTAAATGGCACTTTCTCTGAAGTCTACGGTTCAGTCTTATCTCCGAGAAATAAAAGCTCTATGTGATGGGGCTTACGGAACTGGAAATAGTTGACATTTAGCATTTCCCAGCTTCATGGATAGGGGTTAACATAACATGAGAGAGCTGATTTTAACCACAGTCATTGTCACCTCACTGAAGCCTGGCATGCTGTGTGTGTGTGTGTGTGTGTGTGTGTGTGTTCTTGGCTGAATGAATTCAACCCATTTGTGAAATTATTCAATAGAAAAGTCTAGACATCTGATGCGAACTTTTAATCATCTCATTGCATCCTCACGCATCCTGAGTTAAAAATAAACGTGCCCTTCTTATTGTAAATATGCTGTCAACACCTGACCAGCCCCCACTGTTGGATTATACTTTCAGAGAGAAGTTGAGTACCTTGAGACCACCACTGCATGAGGCATATTTGTACAGAATAGAACAGATCTATATGATCTTACGAAAATCAAGGCCTCGGAGGAGAAGACAACAGTGTTAACAAGAAGGTAAATGATTGGTGTCTAGGTTTCCTGACAATGCATTTTTGTATCCTAGGAGCTGTTGGGACCCACCCTCAGAAGGAGACATCCTTTGAGTTGTCGCCTCTTCTCAGAATCCCATCTATTTGCAATCTGTTGCCTGGTGCTCTTGTGACCTAGGGCATTGCATATCTGAGATGAGTGTTGGGCTAGGGGTACAATCTGTGACGTGGGAGCAGTTTTCCTCATTTTGAACCCAACTGTACAAAGACCAGTTCCCAGGTTACTTATCAGTTCCACATGCTGACCGCTGTGCTGTCCAGTGACGGTCACTGCCTCTTTTTGACCCCGACCTGGAACTGTGTATTTTGGTGCTTTGCAGAACTTCCCCTCTGGTTCAGTTTAGATTGATGTCCTTCATGAAGAAAGTTGAGATGTCCATTGGCCAGCAAGAAGTCTGGGAACTGGCATCATGTAAAGCCCATCTGACATCACTTACATCCAGGACTTCCATTGAAACCTACAGGGTCAGGCCTAGAAATCTCTGCACTGTTCTTATTCCAGGGTTACTCCTAGTCTCTGACATTCCAGGTTTACATACCACATCAATTCAGAATTAATTTCCATTGGACTATGGATCCCAACAAATATGCAAAGAAGTTGTCTTGCTGTGGTGACTCCCCTCAGGAAAGGGAGGCTTTCTCCAGCCTCCTCCAACTGTCATCATGAATAGCATTAGAGAGGATTTTCCAAATGGTTGTCAGAGCTGAGAGCCAGGACGGCATCCGCCGGGAGCCTGCATGCACTGCCTTTGGTGATGTGACCTTTTCTCCTGGGTGTCCCCTGGGGTTCCCTTTGACTGTTCAGAACCAATGACACAGGCCTCAAGCTCCAGGAAACAGTCACGTTACTCACCATCTGGTTCTCCTAGTGAATGGTGAGAAGGAGCATGATCAAGTTAGGGCCTGCCTGAACCCACTCATGGATATAGGGGGTAGCTGCACAGGGTTTGCCTCAAGACAGTCAGCCACACTGGGATTTAGGTCGCTCTCCTTTTTTGCCAGAGGACTGCTCAACAGAGACTTGTTTCTCCTTCTGGCCAAACTGTCAAAGGACTCTCATCACTAGGAAGCACAGAATAGGAGAGTCTACTGATTAGAAATTTTGAATATTCGTATTTGTTAGTTGCCATAGAAAACAGTAATTGAAAATAATGCCATAGAACTTTATAGATATTCCAATATTTTGGACAGAATTCACCCCATTATCCCAAGTTGAGGGTGGCAAGCACTTGGAACATGGGGTTCAGTTCCTCCACCTCTGCCCCGGCAGGCACTGCTGAATGGCCCCAGCATTCCCCCTCACTGGCTGCAAGGCAGCAGAGGCTCCTTCTGAACACAGTGTTCTTGGCAGCCATTATAACCAATCAGCAATGCCATGCAGAATGAAACCCATTTGCCACCCGTTCTAGTTACTGAAGTCTACTGTGTGTGAGGGAGCCCTGTGCCTCCTGGGGTGGCCTCAGCGGAAATGATCTCACATCTAATTATTTTGACTTCAGACTCACCTTCTTGGGGACACAGTTTGCTGCCCAGAGTGAATCATCCTTCTTGTTTTCCCCTCTTACCCATGTTTCTCTCTGGGTCATGTGAGTATGGCTCCAAGGGCCATACTTCTGTGGCCTTTGAAAGTCAAATCTTCATAGGAAAACAGTCCTCCCAATGACAAATAATTGAGGCTGGATCTGGTCACTGCCTCCTTCACTGTGGGGCACTGATCTGACCTTGAGCCATTTTCTCTGTTCTCTCTGCAGTGCTCCATGACCAAGTTGCTTACTTCAGAGATTTGCACACATTGTGCAGCAAATTGCAAAGAAGGTCTGGTTCCAGAAATCAGTCAAAGGCCAATTATGATTTTTAGGGGCCTTCTCCCTTGGCTGCTATGTAATCATAAAAGACTCTCCAGTGCAGTGGAGGGATGACATTTTGTAAGCTGATATCATATTTTGGGAGTGATTAAAATCTTCAGCTCAGTCACCTGCCTGACCAATGGCCTGTAGCCACGAAACAAAGTAATTACAGTCAATTTATATCCATTAAGAAAATGACTTGAAACACTATGGGCTTAGGCTCAATGGGGCTTAATCTGATTTCAGGAAGAAAAAAAAAAAAAAAGATGGACAATTAAAGGAGAGAGGAAAGGCAGAAAAGAAATTCAAATGAGAATTTTCCCCAACGCCTGAGGCCTTTTTGGTTTGTTCATTTCCATAAGGATTAATTAAGTACATGGAGAGTTGTTCTACCATGGTAGACCCGGAGGGGGTACAGAGGAAGGAGACAAGAGTGGCAACCCTGTCTTTGGAATTTGTAGCCTAGCAGGGGAGAATTACCACATGCCAAGGAAGTTGCCAGGGAACTGGTGAATTTATGTCAGCATGAATTTCTTCAATACCTTCTAGGTTCCTGGCACTGTTGGAGAAAGAAAAGGAAAATGGACTTGCGGACAGTCACTTGACTCTATGTGCTCTGAATTAAGCATTTTACATCTACTAACTTAGTCTTCACAACAACCCAACACTATATCCATTTTACAGATGAGGAAACTGAGGTGCAAAGAAGTGTAGGAACTTGTGCAACATCACACAGTCCACAAGTGGAGGAGCTGATTTGCATACAGATAGTCTGGTCCCAGAATCTGAGGTTTTAACCATTTTTCTATACTATCTTCCAAGGCCATGGGGCATTCCCCACCCTTGAGGATTTATGTTCTCCCTGGGGAGATCAGGCCTGGGTCTGTGGAATAGTTAAGCTGGAGGTGAGTGATGGGGTGATGGAGGCAGAGAAGGAAGACTTGTCAGAAAAGGGTGGAAGGGAAGGTCTGAACTGAATTCTGAGTATGAATGTGATTGTGTGTGTGTGGGGGGGGTTGGTGCTCGGCATACAGGAGTGGAGAAGGTTCTAGACCAGGAAAAGGGCAAGAGCAAAGGTGGTTGAGAACATGGATGCTGTTAATGGCTAAAGGATTTGAAGCTCCCCTGGGAAGAGGAAGCATTAAATCTAAGGCTGTCACCTCACAAGGGCAGGGCTTCTGGCCCTGGGGCTGGAGTGAGGACTTGGACAAGAGACACAAGCATGCTGCCCTCCTAAGTTTGCATTCCAACTGGGGAGACAAAATAATTTCAGGTTATGAGAGAGCTTTTGATGAAATTACAGGGTGTGAATGAATGGCTTTATGGCACCAAAGACTGTCTGGCACATGGGAAGCAAGTAGTATAAGAGGACTTTCATTTTATGCAATATCAGGTAGTGCCATCTTAGAATTCAGCATTTCAAAGGAAGCCAGGGTGTCAGATCCTCTTCCAGGTCTACCCAGGAGGCATTTCTCTTTTCTTCTTTGTTTATTGACCCCTTCTTAATCCAAATTTCAACTTCCAGTAAGGAGAAATATCCCAGTCAGTCATGATGATCTCATTCTCCCTGCTAGGGGGATGATTTAAGGCCAATCATGTGACTTGTTTTGGGCTGAGCTGGGAAGACACTTCTGGGGAGTCTGAGAACCAAGCAGGCAGAAGGCCCATGGAGAAAATAAGTCGTGCTCCCTCCACCTGGTACTCGCAAGTGGCATTGATAATGCAGTAGTAGCCTCCTTGGGGTTGTGAAGGAGGTGGCCTAGAGGGCAAGCCAGCATGCTGAGGGTGATGAGACAGAAGATAGGGGAAGGGATAAGGGCTCTTGAAGCATGTTGGGACACTGACTTTGTCATCTTGGGACCAGCCCATCATACGTCCCTCCTGGAATAGATCATGAATTGACACTTACCATTCAAGCTGTTTGCAGGTGGAGTTCTGGTTATTAGCAGCCACAGCCTCCTGACTGATAGACACAGCATCGTGACAGTGAGAGCTTGTAAGAGCTGGCCTCCAGCTTGTCACCTAGGTGGTCGATTGCAGGAGGGCGAGAGAGTTAGATCTGTTATTGATGTGCAGCTTTGAAAGATCCATGCCCACACTTGGTAGAATAATCTTTAGGGAAGTCCTTCCTGTCCCCATGGCTTGTCATGGTCTCCCCTGAGATCACAGCTCCTCAAATGTGGGCCCTCAAGAGCCCCCATAGGCCATGTGCCAAGGGCACAGGAAGCCAGGACGACACTTTGCACCAAATATGGGGGGACATGCTGGAATGCACTTTGTGAGGAGAGAGGCCGCATGGATTATACTCAGAACCGTGCAGGAGCAGTTCCTAACACACAGTGATGGCTCAACAAACGTCTGTGAAATTAAATTAGTGAATTGAGCCAAGCTGGACTATGTTGAGAATTACCCAAGCAGGGCATGAATTTTAAAAAACCAAATAGGTGAGCAAACTGGGGTTGTCTTCATATTTTCTCCCATGCATCGTATTTGGTAAAATGCTTCAGGCATTGTGTCTTAGAAGTATGCAGTTTGATGTTACCCCACCACAAGGAGGGTTTAATTAACGATATAAATAGCGATAATAATGGGATCGTTAACTTGTCACGCTCAGGCGCCCAAGTCCATCGCACACTTAGCCCTAGCACGTCAGGTTACAAATGAGGAGCCCGCGGCCCTAGAGGGCCGAGGAGAGCGGCCCAAGACCACCCAGCTGGTGACTGCAGAGCTGGGATCTGCTCAAGGCGAGTCTGGCCAGTCCTCACTGCCTCGGCTGCCCTGAGTGGGGCTTTGGAACAGGCTGCGCCCTCGTTTTTCTTTGACATCAAACCCTGTCTCTCTGTCCTCAGGGACTGCAGGGGAAGGGGCTGAGGGTGGCATTGGCCCCGCCCTGCTTCTCCGCTGCACTGTTAGCACAAGGCCAGCTCCCCCAGGAGGGTGACTGCCTGCTGCCCTGCTACACCCCCAGACGCGCCTGCACGGGCAGAAAGGGCAAGCCTGGGTGGAGTTTTCCTGTTCTCTTGTGGTAGAACGTGCAGGCTAAGGTCAAAATAAGGGGTGGGTGCAATTGTATGGGGAATATAACTGAAATGAAAATGCACACAGTGTGCAAAAATGA